TCTATCTGACAATGTTCCTCTACTATTCATAAGGTTTTCAGTGACTAAATCTTCGGAAGTAGTTCGTCTTTCCTTTTCCCTGAGTCTGTCTTCATCTGGAAACTCATGAAACCAGTGCACCATGGGTGACCCTGCTGGTATTTACATACTCTTGGTATAGCTTCCAGAATCTCAGCAACTCACAAGCCACTACAGTGCGACAAATGAACAGACGAGTGTTGGACTTATACCAGTGGTAGTAGTGGTGGTGGTTATGTGCCTGGAGTCGGTATACTAGTAGGATGACAAAATTTAATTAAGCCCCTCATTTTCCAATTTTTAAAATAATAATTAACTCTGATAACAGTCACTCAGAAACTGAATTATATAATCCATCAGCATCTTTCTCCACTTTCTGTTACGGAGTCATCAGGAAAAAGTCATTTGGTCGGACTTTACAAAGAGCCATTAAATAATCACACAACACTTTCAGTGATCAGATTTTCAACTAGTAATTTAGTGCTTATCCATTTGGGTCACCCAGGACTCTTATTTGTGCTACAGTTCCAAATTCAAATTATTATAGCTGAACTCACCAACATACTACCCTCCTTGTCTTGTATCTTTTAAACCTTTTTATGGTTCTCTTTTTAGTAATTTAAATCAGCCAGCAAATATTTATTGGTTATTTAATATGTGAAAAAGGACCACTGGTAGCATAGTGGTTACAAATCGGCCTGCGAACTGCAAGGTCAGCAGTTCGAAACTACTAGCTGTTCCATGGGAGAAAGATGAGGCTTTCTGCTCCTATAAATATTTACAGCCTCAGAAACCCTGTACAGGGTCACCATGGGTCGTAATCGACTTGACGGCACTTAACAATAACAATATGTGAAAAGCAGGGTGTTGTGTATCTGTGTTTCAGCTTTAAACATGGTAGACATGGGCTTTTAAATCACATGTTACAGTGCGGGAGACCTTTTATTGCAGTTTCCATGGCTAATTCCTATTTGTGTTTCATGTTTCAGCTTGGGTGCCACTTCAAGGAAGTTTTCTCTATTTTCCTAGAAGTAGTGTTGATATCCTTCCTATGTGTTCCCCCTTTCATAGCTTCATTTAATTATTTGTTTTCCCTACTAGATTGAAACTACTTTGAGGGCAGGGAAGTGTATGCTGTTTTTTTATTGGTGGTGGTGTTAAGTGCAGTCAAGTCATTTCCAACCCATAACAATCCTGTATAGGATTTCAAATGAGCGGCTCGTGACTTTGAACTCCCGACCTTATAGATCAGACCAACTTTAAAGTCTAGTGTATTAACCCACAGCACCACACACACAAGGAGCTCTGGTCGAGTAGTGGTTATGAATCAGGCTATTAAACTCACAGTCAGCAGTTCAAAACTACCAGTGGTTCCGTGGGAGAAAAATGAAGCTTTCTGCTTCCTTAAAGACTTATAATCTCAGAAACCCTGTACAGTGTTGCTATGAGTCAGAACAGGGTCCTGGAACATAACCACCACTACCATCATAGTGCCTCTGGCGCACCATCAATGCTGAATAGTAATTTGGTGAATTTATGACTGGTTGAATCTGTGCTTTACATAGATCAGTTGACAATAGTAGAATAAATCGGAAATGCTTACATAGAGGTGATAATGTTTATCATGCAGTGTTTTACATCACTATTAACTAATTTGTTTTTCCCAGTTGGTTCATTTTGGTGGTTTTTCTGTAATTTTGATTTTTACTGACTATTTCCTTTATTTATTTACTTTTAATTTTTATTGTGAATTGAGTGATAGTTTACATGGGAGAACATTGGTTTTACACTTACCATTTCATTGCAATATTTCATTTACTTTTGAACTACAAAAAATCCCTCACACTTATAAATATATGGCCACTTTCAAAATGAAGATAGGAGTGCAGATGCAGATGCAGGTTGGCATCAATTAATTCTAGACCTTATTTATGTAGCCAAGCCTAGTTATAAAGATTTTTAATATTTTGTTATTACCCACATTTTAAAAGTCTTTTCATTAAATCACTGTTACCCCTCAGGAGATCCTAGGAGTGCCTCATGCATCGGAACAGAGATATGATGCTGAATTCTTTAAGAAGTTCAGGAATCAGAATATTGTTCTCTCAGCAAGAACTTATGCTCGGGTAATTTTTTTTTTCCCAAATTAAATGATTATGAGTACTTACACTCTGTAAATCTTTGAGCCATGAAGTTAATGTTATTACATACTTATGGCATTACAGCTCCTCTTTTTGTTATATTATTGATAAAAACAGAGACAATGATATTAATGTTTGAATATTACTCTTAATAATTTTGAGTTTTAAAAATAAATGTTACAGAAATTTGGTAGTTTAAAAAATATCTATATATATCCAGTCGCTTATCAGAAGTTTTTCAGAAGAATTTTAAGTTTTTGAATGTTGTCATAAAAATTCACTACTTTATTTCTAAGGTTGACGTTAGAAATTTGTGCCTTACCTTTTATATAGGAAAGTAATGTACAAGCCCTCGAAATTCTCTTCACTTATCATGGTGCTGAGCTGCTTCCTCATCGTCTTGTGATTCTCTCCAACTTTCCAGAGACCACATCTCCACATGAGTATTCTGTTTTGCTGCCTGAAGCTTGGTAAGTGAATATGTTACCTGAATTTCACCTTCTTTATAAATAATGACAATTTTTGGTTCTATGGTAAATACCTTAAATTACAAAATCAATTTTTTAAATTAAAAATAATGAATGCAATGTATTTTACTTATTATTTCTTTTCTCTAATAAATTATTTCTAACTGATTTTTAAGTGATCATCATTAGAACTTAGTTGTTAATAATGGTGACCAGTATTTATAGACTAATTATTATGTATTTAGATCATATTTATATCTTGCTTTCTGAGTAATTTTGCTATTATCCCTGTTACAGAAAGCTGAGATATACAGAGGTAGTTTTGATTTATGGGAACCCAAGTGGTTAGCATTTTGCTGCTTACAGAAAAGTTGATGGTTTGAACTCACTAGCTGCTCCATCAAAGAAAGATGTGGCAGTGTGATGACAGCTTTAGAAACCCTACGGGGTATTTCTACTGTGTCCTAAAGGGTCACTGTTAGTTAGAACTGACTGGATGGCAACCATAACTACTATCTAGTGATCCTCTATCTCCTCCTTCCATCCCTGTAAACCATTAATAAACATTGGTTTGTGTGTGTACTGTCATTCTTGACCTTTTCTAAAAGTGGTATCATACCATATCAATCAGCTTGGTGTCCTCTATATTCATCCATGTTGTGAGGTATTTTGCAGATTCCTCATTATTTATCCTTGTGTTATATTTTGTCATGTGTGTACACCAGTTTGTTTATCCATTTGTTCACTGATGTGCAATTTGTTTCCATCTTTTTGTTAATGTTAACAATACTGCAGTAAAAGTGAATGTGCCATATGTCTATTTGTTTAACTATGCTTACATGTATCTCTAGGATATATACGTAGCTGTGGGATTGCTGAGTGTACGCTTTTTAGGGAAGTGCTGTATTTAATGATTATAATGCTGGTAATAATTCAAATAAAATTTTAAAAACCCCACAAAAACAGAAAACAACAACTGCTGATGAAGTTGCAAGGAGACTGTGCTACCAGTATTACAGTCAGTAAATACAGCACTTCCCTAAAAAGTGTACACTCAGCAATCCCACACCTACGATAGATGTAAGTAGCGTAGTGGTTATGAATCGGGCTGCGAACTGCAAGGTCAGCAGTTTGAAACTACCAGCTGCTCCACGGAAGAAAGATGAGGCTTTCTGCTCCCATAAAGATTTACAGCCTCGGAAACCCAATACAGGTTCACTATGGGTTGGAACCGACTCGATGGCACTTAACAACAACAACAATGGGTAATGATGTAGAGCACCTGAATATCCTCTTAGGTGAAGTGTCTCTTCAGGTTTATACCTATGTTTTGTTGAATTGTTTGTCTTTCTACTGTTGAGTTGTTGAAAGTTTCTATATATTGTAGAGATTAGGTCCTTCTTGTTAGCAAAAAATTTTTCCCAGTCTGTGGGCTCCTTTTATAATCTTTCAGAAAGTATTTTGAGTATTTTTTGTTAGACGTCCTTGAGTCCTTAAGTCAGTTCCAGTGCAAAGTGACCTTATGCATAACAGAATGAAACAATGCCTCGTCCTATGCAATTCTCAACTGTTGTTGTTACTCTTGAGCCCATTGCTGCTGTTAATGTCTCTTCTGACATTCATTTTGGTCTTTTTTTTCTTTCTTGTCTTTTGTTTAGCCTTTGTGGGTTTTTTTCCCGTTTGATGTCCATGATGTCATCTCACAGTTCTTCTGGTCTTCAGTCATTAGTGTCGAATGCATCAAATTTGTTCTTGAGATGGTCTCTGTAGATTCATGTGGGATCTGTTCAAGGTCATATTTTAGATTTTTTGGATTTGTTTTCATTTTCTTCAACTACAGCCTGTACTTGCATATGAGCAATTGATAACCTGTTCCATAGTCTACCCCTGATCTTGTTTTGTTGATGATACTGAGCTTTTCCACTGTCCCTTTACACACATGTAGTCAATATGATATCTGTGTATTCCATTTGGTGAGGTCCATGTGTACTGTGTTCTTTATGATTATAAAAAGTTATTTGAAGCGAATAAGTCATTGGTCTTACAAAATTGTAGCATGCAATCTCCAGCATCATTTCTATCACCAAGGCCATATTTTCCAACTACTGATCCTTCTTATTTCCAAACTTCCTGGTCCTGTGTCACCCTCATAATCGCTGTTAAGCTTGAGCCCTTACTGCTTCCACTGTGCCATTCCATCTCCTTAGGGGTCTTCTTCTTTATCGCCGACACGCCAGTTACCTAGCATAATGACCTTCTCCAGGGACTGATCCCTCCTGTTAATCTGTCCAAAGTATAAGAGACAAAGCCTCACAATCCTGACCTCTAAGGAGCATGCTGGTTGTACTGTCTCCAACACAGATTTGTTTATTCTACTAGAAGTCCGTGGTACTTTTCATATTCTTCTCTAACACCATATCTCAAATGCATCAATTCTTCTATGGTCTTCCTTATTCACTGTCCAATTTTCACATGCATATGAAGCTATTGAAAATACCATAGCTTGACGCAGGCGCACTTTCGTCTTCAAACTGACATTAGTGTGTTGAAATGAACAAGTATTGTCAATTTGACAATCGTATGGTTTTCTGTGCCACAGAGAATAGTTTACAGAGGAATGACATTACATTCATCGTTAGAAAGAGAATTTCAAGATCTCTCTTGAAATACAGTGCTGTTTGTGATAGAGTTAATATCCATACGATTACAAGATCAGTTAATACAACTTTATTCAAATATACACAGCAGCCAGTAATGCCAAAGGTGATGAAATTGAAGAATTCTACCATCTTTGTAAGTCAGAAATTGATCAAATATGCATTTAAGATACATTGATAATTACTGGTAATTGGAATGGGAAAGTTGTAAACAAAGAGGAATGGTCAGCAGTTGGAAAATATCGCCTCTGTGATAGCAATGATGCAGGAGACCACATCATAGAATTTTGCAGGACCAACTAGTTACTCTGCAAATTGTTCTCATGAGAAACCTACAAATGGACCAATAGACAGTCATTCAAACAGAATAAGGGTGTACTAAATGTTTTAAAATCAGGAAAGATGTGCATCAGGGTTGTCTCCTTTCATAATAGTCATTCAGTGAGTAAACTGAGCAAATAATTTGAGAAGCTGCTTATCCTACAGAATTCCACAAGGACCCAAAATTATATGAATTGGAAGGTAGCATCAGGTTTGGAGGAAGACTAATTAACAATCTATGATATGCACATGATACAACTTTGGGTTTTGAAAAGAGGATTGAAATACGTACTAATAATGATCCAAGATTGTAGCTTTCAGTATGGATTCCATGTTAATGTAAGGAAAGCAAAATGCCTCAACAATTGGAACAATAAATAACGTGATAAACAGAGAAAAGATTGAAGTTGTCAAAAACTTTTTTTTGCTTGCATACACAATCAGCAGTCATGCTAGTAGCAGTTAGCAAATCAAAAGACGTATTGCAGAAGGCAAATCTGCTGCAAAAGACCTCTTTAAAGTGTTAAAGAACAAAGATGTCACTTTGAGGAATAAGGTGAGCCTAACTCAATCCATCATCTGTTTTATTGTCTTATATGTATATGAAATTTGGACAAAGAATAAGGAAGACAGTAGAAAAATTGGTATTTGAATTACTGTCTTGGAGAAGAATATTGAAAGTATAATGGTCTGTTAGAAGAACATACAAATCTGTCTTGGAAGAACTATAGCCAGAATGCACTTTAGAATGAAGATGATCACACATGTTGTTGGTGGGACCAGTGCCTGGAAAAGGACATCATACTTGGTAAAGTGGAGGGTCACTAAAAAGTAGGGTGACCCCAATGAGATAGACTGATACAGTGGCATCAACAATGGACTCAGCCAACAATTGTGTGAACGGCACAGGACTGGACAGTGTTTTGTTTTGCTGTGTATAGGATCAAAACTGACTTGCTGCCATCTTACAATAACTCGTTGATATTTATATTTGTGTATCTGCCTAACCCACTGTTGTTGACTAGATTCAGACTCATTGCAAACCTTTGGACAGAGTAGAAGTGCTCCGTGGAATTTCTGATACTCTACATCTTTATTGGAGTAGACGGCTTCATCCTTCTCCTTTGTAAGCATGGCGGGTTTGATCTGATAACCTTGTATTTAGCAACCTGTGCTTTACCCACTGTTATGTCTGATACTCTTTAAAAGCTACTAGCAAATAAGATGTACTGATTAATTAATTAATTATGAATTAATTTGAATTTGTATTTAACAAATGTTTCATGATTTTTTTTGCACATTTGTTTAGTTTTATGTTTAACGTATATATTTCTCACAACTTTATTAGAGCCGGTATAAATTTTGAGAGGCATTAATCAAATATTTATTGAAATGGGGAATATTTACAGGGAAAAGTTAACTTCACTACTGGTTTAGTGTAGATGCAAGTATTGTAAAGTGTTTTGAATATTAAACAGCTTGAAGTTTTCCATCTGAAATGAAATCTTTCAGAGGGTACTTTTTTTCTTTTAATAGACATGGTCTCCTAAAATTTGTTACTAAATTAAGTTTTGCCTTTGTGACCTTTGTTTTTAAGTGCTATCAAGTCCTTCCCAACTCACAGTGACCCTGAATAGGGTTTGTGAGTAGCAGCTGGTGGGTTTGAACAGGTAACCTAGGAGTTAGAAGTCTACTGCTTTTATCCTACAGTGTCCCACCAAAACCCAAAATTTAATTACCTTGACCCATAAGTTTAGAACATGTGACTGTTCTGGATATTATAACATATTTTCTGAGTGATTGAATTACCTCAAGGAAATAGCCCCTATAATTCTTTTTGATCAAACAATATGTCTCCCAATCAAGTCTTCATTAATATGTAAATGCTTTCTTTAACAGCAGTAAATATTTTTTGTCATACTATACTTAATTAACATATAAATAACCCTTTGTGGCACATTTTCAATTTCTGATATAAACTAGCTTGCTTAAATATCATTTTAATAAGTCAAATTGTATTAAGAA